AGTTGCAACATTCCAATAATCACAGTGAAATCACTTTATTGAGAATCATGCCGATTAATCCTGCCATTCTCTGTACTCCTTATTAGGCACAAAAGATGCAATTCACAAGCAGTTTTGTCATTCACATTTCTTATTATATTCTCCAATCACATTTTCATAGAAATATTCACAAAAAAATGTTTTTCATGTTTTATAACTCCTGGCATTGGAAATACACTTCATTCCTGATGCTACACTCAACAGCTGCAGTTCATTGGCATGCATCTATGGAAAATGCTGCAATTCTGGTCATTTGACTCTCGCAAGATCTTTTCTTCACTTAAATTCAAGTATTTATGGACTATTTCATCATTCAATTGATCGACCAACTGATTTATCCTATGGATTATGATCTGGAAAAAGAAAAACATAAGAACATACTCAATGTCATACTGACCCATTTCAATCATGAACATCTGGCTCTGCAAATCAAACAAATGCTTCTGTCTTATTTTTTTAGGTAAAAAAATTTAATGTTATGCAATGTATTTCAAAATAATCACCTCTTCTTCACCATCTGTGCTTCGTTGCTGCTTTCCCCAATCTCTTTGTTCCTGGCATGACCTTCCTAGTGGTTTAAAATTGGCGCAAATACTTGGATGTAAATAATGCTGTTGTTTATAACCCCCTTGTTACCTAAACGGTTTTATCATTTCTGAGAGATCTAATCAGTACATTATGTAAATTTGATGAAAAAAGAATTCTGTATTGTTAAAGAATACAATAACAAAAATTCATTTATGTTTACACAAGATGTTTTCTCTGTATGAATTATACTTTTATTTTAAAGATTAGGGTGGATAATAGAACTGCTCTAGAGAAACCGGATATAAACTGATAAGCCGTTCTTAGAAAGGTTTACAACATTACAGATAATAAGTCGTTCCTAAACATGCTCAACACATCTGTAAGTAATTAGCCTAATCCCAACTGGTTAGACTAGGGAAGAGAAAGTAGATGGTAATGTAATATTATCTGAATATACCATCTATATTTTGTTTTATTATAGAGACATTGATCATGCAATTACTGATTGAAAAATTATTTTTAGCATCAGCTATAGTGCTTTGTTAAAACTAAGGACTTAAATATTCATTTAATTAAATGCTATTAATATTAAGCCACTAAAACATTAATGAAAGAATATACCAAGTTTGTTAGAAATAAAATCATCTTAGTTAAGAGAAAACATATTAATTTTTTTTTTTATTTGGGAATCAATGGCACAGTAATCTAAGATTAAATAGTATAATTTACTAAAATTAATTGCTTTTATTAATACAATGAATACAACAAAGGCAATATTTTAATGTAATCAATGTTTACATGTGGAGTAAATACTTTTTTGGGGGTTAATTTTAATACATGTATCACAGAAGCAACTCAATAGTTACATAAAGGAGAATGAAGTTATCTAAGTAAAATTTTTTATCTAGCTCTCTTAATAATAAGAACTAAGTCAGAAAATCCACCAGGATTTCCAAAAATACACCCTTTGAAATTTTCTAAGTTTTTATTTCCCTGTGCGAAAGAGACTAAGAAAAAAATACGCCTGGATTAAGAATTTACGCCAGGAGAAAAGGAGACATATTTCTGGCAAAAATACGTGTACGCCTGAAAATGAACCGTATTTTTAAGAATACGTCTCTTGTACGCCAGGATTTGCAAAAAGTCCAGGCGTAATACGCCTCTAAATTTCATACGGGAAACAGGTTTAGACCTAAGGAAAAAGACTGGACAGTTTTCAATCATTCTTTATAAATAGCAATACAAATGTCCATAGTTATTTCTACTTACAGAATAACTTAAAATGTATCATATCCTCTATTTGTGCAACAACTTAGTTCCTTTTACATCAAAGAGATGAAGAACTGTGCAAATATCCTTCTCACACCATTCATATAAAAAGTGAAGAGTACAGAAAATGAAATAAAAAAATGATCATTTTATTACTTGCCAGTATGTTTATTTAACAAGCACACCAAAAGCTACAAATATGAACTAAATAATTTGTTATTGATTCATTCACGAGTGATTTGAGATAAATGTCCTAATTAAAAACCAAACGGAATATTTTTCTGTCAAGATAGATGAAAAAAATTACACATACCAAAAACCAATGGAGAAAAAATCATTGCAACTCCATGACTGCAATTACAAGTAAAACAATATTTGGTGCCATATCATCTTTAGTCTACATGTGCTGTTAAGTTTGTATATATTGAAATTTTTAGAGAAGAGAGATTTCATTTGAATCTTGAATGAAAAGGAAATTTTTCCATGTATTTTCATTGATATTCAAAATGAAGTTTGGATTTCAGAATGATAAAACCGCCATTAGCAAAGATGAAGACTTCCATTATACTCCACATTTCAAATTGGAAAGTGGTGGAATTCATGATCCTCATATGCACCATCAAATGGTAAGAACGTTGCAGACTATCTTTTTGATTTATATTTTCCCTTTGTTTTGGAATTGTCCAAAGCCAGAGAGACCCAGTATTTATTTCACTCATAATAGGACAGACACCTGAATAATAAGAAAACCACCTGCAAAACTTGCCTTGATGCACATGTCAAACAGGTTTAGACCTAAGGAAAAAGACTGGACAGTTTCAACCATTCTTTATAAATAGCAATACAAATGTCCATAGTTATATCTACTTACAGAATAACTTAAAATGTATCATATCCTTTATTTGTGCAACAACTTAGTTCCTTTTACATCAAAGAGATGATGAACTATGCAAATATCCTTCTCACACCATTCATATAAAAAGTGAAGAGTACAGAAAATGAAATAAAAATTCATCATTTCATTAATTGCCAACATGTTTATTTAACAAGCACACCAAAAGCTACAAATATGAACTAAATAATTTGTTATTGATTCATTCACGAGAGATTTGAGATAAATGTATTAATAAAAAACCAAACTGAATATTTTTCTATCAAGATAGATAAAAAAATTACACATACCAAAACCAATGGAGAAAAAATCATTGCAACTCTATGACTGCAATTACAAGATAAACAATATTTGGTGCCATATCACTTTTAATCTAAATGTGCTGCTAAGTTTGTACACACTGAAATTTTTAGGGAAGAGAGATTTCATTTGATTCTTGAATGAAAAGGAAATTTTTCCATGTATTTTCATTGATATTTAAAATGAAGTTTGGATTTCAGAATGATAAAACCGCCATTAGCAAAGATGAAGACTTCCATTATACTCCACATTTCAAATTGGAAAGTGGTGGAATTCATGATCCTCATATGCACCATCAAATGGTAAGAACGTAGCAGACTATCTTTTTGATTTATATTTTCCCTTTGTTTTGGAATTGTCCAAAAGCCAAAGAGACCCAGTATTTATTTCACTCATAGTAGGACAGACACCTGCTTAATAAGAAAAATACCTGAAAAGCTTGCCTTGATGCACATGTCAAACAGATTTAGACCTAAGGAAAAAGACTGGACAGATTTCAACCAATCTTTTTAAATAGCAATACAAATGTTCAGAGTTATATCTACTTACAGAATAACTTCAAATGTATCATATCCTTTATTTGTGCAACACCTTAGTTCCTTTTACATCAAAGAGATGAAGAACTATGCAAATATCCTTCTCACACCATTCATATAAAAAGTGAAGAGTACAAAAAATGAAATAAAAAATGATCATTTCATTAATTGCCAACATGTTTATTTAACAAGCACACCAAAAGCTATAAATATGAACAAAATAATTTGTTATTGATTCATTCACACGTGATTTGAGATAAATGTATTAATAAAAATCCAAACTGAATATTTTTCTATCAAGATAGATGAAAAAAATTACACATACCAAATCCAATGGAGAAACAAATCATTGCAACTCTATGACTGCAATTACAAGTAAAACAATAGTTGGTGCCATATCATCTTTAGTCTACATGTGCTGTTAAGTTTGTATATATTGAAATGTTTTAGGGAAGAGAGATTTCATTTGATTCTTGAATGAAATCGAAATTTTTCCATGTATTTTCATTGATATTCAAAATGAAGTTTGGATTTCAGAATGATAGAACCGCCATTAGCAAAGATGAAGACTTCCATTATACTCCACATTTCAAATTGGAAAGTGGTGGAATTAGTGATCCTCATATGCACCATCAAATGGTAAGAACGTAGCAGACTATCTTTTTTATTTATATTTTCCCCTTTGTTTTGGAATTGTCCAAAAGCCAGAGAGACCCAGTATTTATTTCACTCATAATAGGACAGACACCTGCTTAATAAGAAAACCACCTGCAAAGCTTGCCTTGATGCACATGTCAAACAGGTTTAGACCTAAGGAAAAAGACTGGACAGATTTCAACCATTCTTTATAAATAGCAATACAAATGTCCAGAGTTATATCTACTTACAGAATAACTTCAAATGTATCATATTCTTTATTTGTGCAACAACTTAGTTCCTTTTACATCAAAGAGATTATGAACTATGCAAATATCCTTCTCACACCATTCATATAAAAAGTGAAGAGTACAGAAAATGAAATAAAAAATGATCATTTCATTAATTGCCAACATGTTTATTTAACAAGCACAACAAAAGCTACAAATATGAACAAAAGAATTTGTTATTGATTTATTCACTTTTCACGAGTGATTTGAGATAAATGTATTAATAAAAACCAAATTGATTATATTTCTATCAAGATTGATGACAAAAATTACACATACCAAAACCAATGGAGAAAAAATCATTGTAAATCTATGACTGCAATTACAAGTTATACAATATTTGATGCCATGTCATTTTTAGTATACATGTGCTGTTAAGTTTATATATATTGAAATTTTTAGAAAAGAGAGATTTCATTTGAATCTTGAATGAAAAGGAAATTTTTCCATGTATTTTCATTGATATTCAAAATGAAGTTCGGATTTCAGAATGATAGAACCGCCATTAGCAAAGATGAAGACTTCCATTATACTCCACATTTCAAATTGGAAAGTGGCGGAATTCATGATCCTTATATGCACCATCAAATGGTAAGAACGTAAGAAGTACTCATTTATTTTTATATTTTTCCTTTCTTTTGGAATTGTTCAAAAGTGTAACAGATTCTTTATTTATCCCACTCCTTATAAGAAAAACATCTGCAAGGCCTACCTTGATAAAACAATTTTAAACTTAATTAAATGTTTTAAATTGTCTTAAAATTAAAGGATGGAATATATAAGATTTAGAATGATATACCGATTGATTCACTTTGATAGATTTTATTCTGATTTTTTTAAAGTTTCATTTATAATATTTTTTTAATTTTAAGAAAGTCTGAAATTTTCTATTGATATAACTAAAATATAAAGTCAAATTTTATTCTAATAACTTTAATTTAACATGGCGGTTATCGTTCAGTCCTCTGCGTAACATAGTAATTCATGGATTTCTGTTCTCATATCTTGGTGCCCCTAGTCTATTATCTGTCATTCTTAATCTTTGGAAACTCAATTTTTTCTGAAATCAACAGACAATTTGCAACCATTGTTTATAAATAAAATACAAATGTCGATAGTTATATATTCTTCTCACAAAATAGACAGTGTATTATTTTCGTATATTTTTGGTATCAGCTTAACTCCTTATGCATCAACACTACTGTAATGATTTTCCCCTTAGATTCCAAAAAATCCCCTGACGTTCCCCTGTCTGTCCCTGACATTTTCCTGTCTCCCCCTGACTTTCTCCTATGATCCCCTGTCGTTGTCCCTGACTACCCTGTCTACTCCCTGACGTCCCCTGACTTTGCCCCTGTTACCACTGTCTAACCCCTGATGTCCCCTGACATTCCCTGACGTCCCTGTCAACTCCCTGATGTCCCCTGACGAAGTCCCTGACCACCCTGCCAACCCCCTGTCGTCCTCTGACATTCATTTTGACCAGGAAAAGGCTTAAAATATGTTTTTGTTGCTATTTACTTGTTAGGAAATCGATACCTTACTCCTAGCAATTTTCAGGTTTTGTGAAAATGTAGTTTTAATCATTAGTTTTTCTGTTTGAATTCTTTCAAAATATTATTTTATTGATTGTGACTAGATTTTCAGATAAATCTTAATAAGGATAAATGCCGTTATTTATCTGTTTATTTATTTATTTATTTGTTTATTGATTTTATTAATTCGTGTATCTGTTTATTTATTAATTTGTCTGCTTATTTATCTATTCTTTTTTTCCATTTATATATTTATTTTTTTTATTCAATCAATCTATTTAATTTATTTTTACTTATCTGTTTTATTTAATTATCAATAAACAGATAGATTTATTTAAAATTTTTATTTATTTATTTTTTTTATTCAATTCAATTATTTTAAGTTATTGATTAATTTTAAATTTAATTCATTTTGTCTATTTCTTCATATACAGTGTCCGGGTAAAACAAATTTGCTTCAAACTATTTTTAAGCATATTCAAATTACCTTTCATTCTTTTAATTTCATGATTAGTATCAAAATCATCGTCTCATTACACACAATCTGAATCTGGAATTTGTTTTATCATTCCCTTTTACTTTGGTAAAATAAAAATTTCCTCAAAAACTTGTCACGGTTGTGAAAGAAATAACACCTGCAGAGTGGATACGGTCGTGCTGCCACAGAATAAACAGTGTATAGTGGTCAGTCAAGAGAACAATAGGTGTCTGGTCTGTGTACCCAGAGTCACTGGTCAACTCTCAACAGCTTAGAATTACTTTCACAACCGTACAGTTTTTGAGAAATATTTCTATTTTTTGTAACAAAGTAAAAGAAGCAATGAAACAAATTCCGAATTCAGATTGTGTGTAATAAGACGATTATTTTGATACCCATCATGAAATTAAAAGAATTAAAAGAAATGTAAATATGCCTAAAAATAGTTTGAAGCATCATTTGTTTTTCCATAAGACTGTTTATGGGGAACTACACAATTAATAGGAATTGAAAAAAAAATTAATTAATTAAAATAAAATGAATAAACAAAATAAAGGAAGAAAGAAAGAACATTAATTAATAATTTATTTCCTTTATTTTAATTTATTGATTAATTTCTATTTAATTCAATTTGTGAAGTTAATCATAAACAGTCTCCGGGTAAAACAAATTTGCTTCAAACTATTTTTTAAGCATATTCAAATTACTTTTAATTCTTTTAATTTTATGATGGGTTTCAAAATCATCGCCTCATTACGCACAATCTGAATCTGGAATTTGTTTTATTGTTCCCTTTTACATTGGTAAAATAAAAATTTCCTCAAAAACTTGTCACGGTTGTGAAAGAAATAAAACCTGCAGAGTGGATACGGTCGTGCTGCCACAGAATAAACAGTGTATAGTGGTCAGTCAAAAGAACAATAGGTATCTGGTCTGTGTACCCAGAGTCACTGGTCAACTATCAACAGCTCGGAACTACTCTCACAACCATGACAGTTTTTGAGGAACATTTTTTTAAAATTTTTTTTACCAAAGTAAAAGAAGCAATGAAACAAATTCCGAATTCAGATTCTGTGTAATAAGACAATTATTTTGATACCCATCGTGAAATTAAAAGAATTAGAAGAAATGTAAATATGCTTAAAAGATACTTTGAAGCATATTTTGTTTACCTTACGACTGTTTCTGCGAAACTCACAAATAAATTGAATAAAATAGAATTTATTAATTAATTAAAATAAAATGAATTAAAAACTAAATAAATATATAATATTAATCAATTAATTAATAATTCAATAAGGAAAAAAATATCTTAAAAGAAATATATGAATAGATTTAATTAATAAATTAGTCAATAAATAAATAAAACAAACAAATAAATAAATAAATGTGGATATGTGGATAGATTGACATATAAATAAATATAGATATATTTACTTGCGATTTATGACAAGATGCAATAAATATGTAATTCATTCTTTTCAAAGTATCTGGCATTTATTCTCCTTAAAATTTATCTAAAAGCTACATGTATTAAACTAAAACAATCAAATATAATCATATTAAGAAATAAATTACTCAAGATATTCAAACAAATAACAATTGACTAAATATATATTTTCACAAAACGTAAGAATTGCCAAGAGTAACGTATTTCTCACAAGTAAATAGCAACAATAAACATATTTTAACACCTTTTCTGCGTCAAAATGAATGTCAGGGGACGACAGGGAATTGACAGGGTGGTCAGGGGCTTAGTCAGGGGACATCAGGGAGTTGACAGGGACGTCAGGGAATGTCAGGGGACATCAGGGGTTAGACAGTGGTAACAGGGGCAAAGTCAGGGGACGTCAGGGAGTAGACAGGGTAGTCAGGGACAACGACAGGGGATCATAGGAGAAAGTCAGGGGGAGACAGGAAAATGTCAGGGACAGACAGGGGAACGTCAGGGGATTTTTTGGAATCTAAGGGGAAAATCATTACAGTAGTGCAAAGAATTGCACAGCTATTCAAATATCCCTATATCATCTTTTTTATAAAACAAAGCACAGAAAACGAAAGAAAAAAATAATCATTTTATGAATAACATTTATATTTACCTAACAACGGCACTCAACGCTACATATATGAACGAAGATAAAACGTCTTGTTATCGAATCATTTACGAGTGATATGAGATAAATGTGTACACAAGAAAAACAAAATTGAAGACTTTTCAATCAAAACAGTACCAAGCATTTCTATATATATACTTTCCCTTTTGTCTTGTAATTGTTCAAAAGTCACACGGATTCAATATCAACTTTTCTGAAAATAAAAAGAATAAAATGTGCAAGCCTCACCTTGATAAAGCAGTTATAGACTCAAGCAAATCTCGGACATTGTCTTAAACTTTTCTGATTGATAAATTAAAAATGTTATACAATTGTTTCCATTTGTTGTTGTTGATTTTTTGTTTCAGTATCAGTTGTAATTAATGCCTCTTATATAAAAGTCTGAAATTATCACTTATGTCTTAATCCTGATGCCTTATTTTATTCTCGTAACATTGATTTTAAATTCCGGTTATTGTTAGGTCATCTGCTAATCATAAGGACCAATGACTTCTGTTCTCACGCATCAGAGTTCCTCGTCTATCGCACGCCATTCTTAAACTTTGAACATTCTCTGTTTATTTTTCCGAAATGGCTAGACAATTTTCAACCATTCTTTATAATTAAAAAAGTTCAAATGCCCTTGTTATTCGTACAAAATGGATAGTGCATTATTTTTCTGTATTTTTTCGTCAGCTGAACTCCTTTTGCACCAAGAAATAAAAAAACACAGCTATTCAAATATCCTTTTGACATCACTAATATAAAAAGTGTAAGTACGGAAAATAAAATAAAATGATCATATCTGAAAGCGACACCGTGACGCACAATCGGGAAAATTGACAAAGATAGAATTTTTGCATGACCGGTGCAAATTCATGAAAATATTAGGTTTCAGAAAATTACAGGTATCGGATCCTAAGAAATCTACTTTTATGGAGAAAACAATAATTTTTGTGTGGCCCAAGACGAAAAAATTGCTTTATTTCTTCTTCTTATTGTACGCGTGCGCAGAAAAGTTGAAGAAGTTACCATGGTCTCAAGTACCAAAAAAAAAAAAATGTCGGTAGAACAAGAATTTTGATGCAATCTTCAAAAAAGATTATAAGAATTTATTTCTCACCATTGTATGCTCCAATTGAATGTTGTTTACAGGTTTTTGCTAAAAATAAAAGCGGCGTGATCTTGACATACACGATATCAACGAAACCGTAGATACAACATATGTTTTTCAGGCACTTATATTGTGTAGTCTTTTCTTGCTTTACAGTGCAGTTTAGTCATCATGTCTTCGCTATACTCATAGTTTTCATCTTTTGCTTAATGATACAGATTTCTTAAAAGAAACACATGATTTTGACTCATTATGTAAGTTAAACTTCTACCATGTGTATTTAACAAAGGACTTGCAACGCTTCAAATATGAACAAGGATATTTCATAATGAATCCTTTACGAGCAATTTGCGATAAATGTATTCCTAAGGACAACAAAATTGAATACTTCTCAATCAAAATAGATTAAAGAAAGACTGAAACCAAAAGAAATAAAGTGTCATTGCAACTCCAGGACTGCAACTTCCGCCGAAATATGGCTGCAACATTGCCGACTCGGCGTAAAACAACAATAATCAACCAATCCAGTATAACAATATTTGGTGCCAACCAATTTTTAGACTACTTGTCCTGTCCAGATGTCCATGTTGATGTTTTTCAAAATGAAAGATAAAATTGCTTCCTCCATGAAAAGGAAAATTGGTATTGATATTTTCATTGATATTCAATTACAAGTTTGGATTTCAGAATGACAAAACCTCCATTCGCACACATGATCAGCTACAATATGCTCCACATTTCAAACTAGAAAAGGCTGGAATGCATGATCGTCATATGCATGATTAAAAGGTAAAAGTTTTACAACCGTACTTATTGTTCATGTATTCCCGTTTTGGTCGGAATTCCTGAAAAATCCAGCAGATTCCCTAATTATTCCAATCAAAAAGGGATGCATACTTTCAGATACACTAGGTTAGATTTCCTTCCTGTGATATGGGCATTCTAATTCGCTTTATAAGTCTATCTGAGTCACTTTGTACCTATAGCTATCTATTCTAGTCCACTGTCGCCCATCGTCTATTATGCATCATTTATCAAATCTGGAAGAACTTCATGTTTATTTTCTAAATGGCTGGACAAATTTCAACCAGTTGTGAAATATAGCAATACAAAAATTCCACATTTAGTTTCGCTTAATCAAACTGACATGGTATTTTATTTTATTTTTATTTTTATTATTTTTGTACGATCCAGAATAGCTGTTTATATTTACCTCCGGTATTTTACGTTTTATCTAATTACGCCTTAAGCATTTTCTATTTTGAATTAAATAAAGAAGAAATAGAATTTTTTTCTGAATGATCATTTTATTTTCTGCCACCATTTCGTTCTTAGGAAGGGACGCTTAAAAATAAATTAAGACTGTAGTCGAATACTTTGATAATCAAACATGTATGAGCAATATGGGATCATTACATTCCCCAAGACAGAAGATTGATTGATTGATTGTATATTGTTTTACGTCCCATTCGAGAATTTTTCACTCATATAGAGACGTCACCATATACCGGTGAAGGGCTTCAAATTTTGACCTTTACTCGGCACTCAGGGCCATTGAGCAGTGAGGGATCTTTATCGTGCCAACGCCTGCCGTGACACGGGGCCTCGGTTTTTAAGGTCTCATCCGAAAGACCCGCAACTTTCACTCCAAAGTGCCGAGCGCATGGCGAAGGAACAGTTGCTACCTATTTTTTTATCGACTTAGGTCTGTCGCGGCCGAGATTCGAACTCACGACCTCCCGATCACGGAGCGAGCGCTCTACCGACTGAGCTACCGTGAACGGTCCAAGACAGAAGAAAGTCAAATCAATTGAAATTAAAAACACCTCACGTACGTGTAAAACAAAACCAAAAGGAAAAAGAATCAAATAAAAGAAATCTAAAATGCAATTTATCGACTGCTACCACATGATTTATTGTAATTTTTTGGACCACTTTTTATGAGAGTATAAATTTTATTAACTTTTTCGATGTTGAAATTTTAAAGGAAGACAGAATCAATATGCTAAATGCATGTTAGCAAAATAGAAAATTAATGTAAATGTTTTCATTGCAATTCACATTTGAATTTTATGGTGACCTTACCTCACCTCCATTCGTAACGACTAGCTAGCAAATACTCTACTTTCACGGAATTCATAATCCTTTTATGCACACTACAATGATAAAAACGTTACAAACAATCATTTTGTTTCATATATATTTTTTCTTTGCTTTGGAATTGCTCAGAAATCAGATTCAGTATTTATTCTATACATAATAAGAAAAAAAATTAATCAAGGAATCTGTCTGTTATACAGAGAAAGCTTTAACTTACACTCCCTTATATATACATACTTAGTACCCATGACATGGTATAGTCAAAATACTTCATATATTGACGTCATTGTCCTATATTACTCAAAGAAATGAACATAATAAACAAAACATCTTCAAGCAAGGGCATGGTTTATTTAATATGATAAAATTTAATAATAAATAAAAATTTTTCCAACAATTGATGATATTGCTGTACAAATGTCGACAGTTCCAATGGTTACTATTTGTGGAGTTTTGATTTAAAACACTTAAAAAATACAGAGTTCCACAGAAAGTTTCTTCAACTCTGATCAATGAGGTAATGAATCGGATAATCAATCTTAGAATGTTCTTCCTCTAATTATACAATAATTCTGTAAAATTAAACAAAGGATGCCCTTGCGCAGAAAGTGTTCTGTTGGTGTTGTTTATTACCTCAAGTAGTATAGAACAATGACGTCATAATATGTATTGGCTATACATTTTAACATGTCGTAGGTACTAAGTATGTTTATTCATTCATTCAATGTATGCTGTTAAATGCCCAGTCGATAATTTTTCAATCATCGGATAGGTCACTGTATGTTTTTTTTTTTATCGTGCAAACGCCTACCGTGACACGAGACCCCGGCTTTTAAGTCTCATCCGAAAGACCCATGACTTTTCGTTCTAATTCCGGGCTTTTAGCGAAGGAACAGTCACTGCTTAAGTTTATTTAGTACTGACGCGGAGCTGCTAACGAGAATCGAACCCTGGCCTCCCCACTACTAGGCATTATTCAAGAAATTAGTTTTAACCTTCTGTTTATTAAAGACAAACCTCTTAAATATTTTGATTAGCTCATTAGCATAGAAATGTTCATAACTAATCCTAACTAACTTGCCTTGTCACTATTTTCAAATTCATCCCCTAGGATCCTTTGTAAAGGCGGATTATTCATGGTATCGATGGCTATTAATATACTAATCTTCCTGAGAATTGTCTAACCTAACGGAAAAATGACAAATCTGAGAATTTTAACTATTTGACTGAAAATTAGCAGCTGAATTACCGAAAAACAACAAAAAGGAGGAAACAGATCTGAATAACAATAGAAACGCACACTCATAAATAAATTCATTGACATTCACTTCAATTCTTATCACCCATACCCAAAACAGCAAACACACCCATTAACATATATAAAAACAAGAAAAAAAACAAATGTGGCGTTGCATGCAATGTACTGCTAAAAAATAGTGTAAGAATATCATAAGTTCGAAACATATTATATGATAAATTTTCTCTAGTTTGATCATGAATATTTCTGGGACAACCGAATGTAACAATCATATGACATATCGTCTCGATGTTTACAAAGCAGAAGAAAAAAATGTTTAGTACAGTATGAAATCGAAAACAGTTCTGAGAATCTTTTATTTCTAATTTCAGATTTCAAACAGAACTTATGGATGGAAGAAAGACGCAAGCAATACGAAAGTTTAGCATATTATATATTAAAAGGATTTTTTCCTCTTTGTAAAGCCTCTCTGCAAAATAAATTGAATCAGATGTCTGAAGCCAATATGTAAAATTCTGTAACACAAAGGTCCAAAGGTGAAGGGCATACTTTTTTTTCTTGATAAATTTGATGAGAGTGGTTGAATATGATTATAGTTCTGCTAAATATCCTTCAAAATTACTTAGATACGTTTGATTTCTTACCTGAATTATTTGTTAATTAAACAAATTCACTACTTTGAAGAACATGAGTTTGCTGTGTTATTACATTATTACGAGGGTTGTCCCAGAAAAACGCGAACTTTTCAAATGTTTCACGAACTACCTTACCCAAATTATTCATTTTTGGCAAAATGTTGGGAAATGATATTTTCGTCATTTTGACCAGATACTCTCAGGTTGGAATGTCATATGCATTTAGAAACAGCATTTAAAGGGTGTAAAATATCGGTGGTCGGCTCACGGCAATTTTTTGACTTTGAAAATTAGCCTTGCCATCTATGTTTTCTCTATTACAAAGATATACGGAAATATAATGTGACAGAAATCACATCCATAGAAACTGCACAATCTAGAGTACTCGTGTGTAAAACATTAATACTTTGACATCATAAATAACAAAATTATGACGTTATATGTCAAAACACTATTAGTAAGATATTGTCAAAAACGGCGACGTCGGGCGATAATGCGGAGCACCAAATTATCACTCAGTACTGTGTGGAGCAGGGTATGAAACCTGTTTATACTTGAAAAGAGCTGGAAAGAAGGAACGACACAAATACATGTATCGAACACTGGTTTATACATAGTAAAAAAGGTTCAAAGCTGGATGGCCTGGTTATCCGATGGAAGAAGCGTTTGGTAGAACAACAAAAATGACGACAAACTGAAAAGTCTAGAGCTGGACGTCATTCATGGAGACCGCCGTCAACTATGCGAGCAGTTAAGTTTAGAATCGGGGTCGAGAAATTGTCTGTTAAAAGAATTAATTCTTTGATTTATTCTTAACTGGAGTACGTGTGAAATGGATAACTAGGTAACTAAAATAAAATTAAATGCAGTGTCGAATTTCAGCTTCGAACGAATTTTTAAAGACGCACGATTCCTGAACAAATTCAAAAACTCCACGTGCTACGTTTTGGCGTTGTCGGTGTTGCGCTGAGAGCTATTTTGAATGATTCGTTTTTCAGAGATAAAAATGTTATTTATAGAGATATTTTTTTGAAATTTCTGTGAATTATGTAAAAAATGTTGATTATTGTGCATGCCTATTTTTAATTTTAAAATATTCTTGAAACGAAAAATATTGAAAAAGTTCGAGTTTTTCTTGGACAACCCTCGTACATTATTACATAATGTTGTTGAATAATATTTCCCTATATACTGATGTTCATTAAAATTAATTCAAAATTATCTTCGGGTGTAAGTCACAACAACAAGGAAAACATAACCATAGAATAGTAGGCAATTATGTGCACACTGAATTGTCTACGGATTTTTCTGTTTTCCATGATCATGACAAGGAGCAGACGGCTGGTGTGACCGGTCGCAGGGGATGTTCACTCCTCAATGGCGTCTGATCCCGCCACTGATGTTTTTGGGTGTCCGTGTTTGCTTTGTTCACGATTTTATTGTTTAAATGGTTTTTGACCTTAATTAATTTTATCTCCATATTTCATTTTGTATACAGCACAAACTCTGATCCAAAATATGCTGGTATATAATCTGAAGATTTTAAAACAAGTTTCATTTTTAGATGGAGGAATGTGCTCATATTTTAATTCTTTGCTGAATGTTCTCAAATAAACCTGCTTTCTGCAAAATAGAAGAACTTTGCAATTTCACAAAACCCGTTTTCAAATATCAGGCCTGGAGGTTATAAAACTTTTTGAGTACGTACTCTGTGTTCAAACTCATACTCCGTTCTCTAAAACCTTACTCATACTCAAAATTTGTATACAAATTAGAGAGGAAAGTTTAGCATGAGTATGGTTTTGGAGTACGGAGTTTGAGTTTGATCACTGAGTACATACTCAGAAAGTTTTATAACCTCCAGGCCTGGACTCTCAAAGGAATTTTTGTTATAGGAAATGAAAGCACTAAGTCTCTACTTTGATATGATGTTTAAAAAGGGACATAGGGTGATATTCAATTGTTTTAGATATGGACAGGACCATTTAATGCATAACTCGAATCTATTTCTTTCAGTTTCTGTGGTAACTGTACATGTATATTATACATTTTCAAAGCACAGAGTCATGAGCTCTAAACATGTTATATATATTCTAGTTATACATGTAACTCTGCCTCTAAAAATTCAAGTTTAAAAAGGTTCGTCCCTGAGCTCTAGAGCAGATGTTTGTCTTTACCTCAATTTAAAAAAAAATCTGCATAATGTTTTAGTTTTTATAATAAATTTGGATTCTACAATACTAATAAAACCATATTCACTTTAAAATTAAACCAGTTGATTAAAATCCATATTGAAAGCATTAAGTGAGGAACTATATTTTATGGGGGAAGGTTATTTTGGAGAAAATGATCATTTTTTCTATTTCGGAGTATTTACAGCATTGTTAAGTTTTCATTTCTTTTCTTACATGCAGCCTGTGCACAGAGTTATGTTGTGTAGTGAAATGTTTTTTGCTGGTCTTATTTACTAAATTAAATGTCATGAGTCCTATCATCATATTTGACAAATATAGTTTGCAATAGCAATAAATAGAGTAGTGATCCTCGTTTAAGTCATTTTTTGTGACAAGATTAATTACAATCAGACTAAAACTGTAGGAGGAGTAGCCTTTAAAAAGAATTTTAGGGAAATTTCTATTTAAGTTACCATGGCATCTAGTTTGTAACAATAATCAGAGAACATCGATTGTCGACCTAAAATGCTACCGATTCCGATAATCGATTATTATTTTTCATAATCAATCATCGGAGACGTACGTTCTTTAAAATGCATCCCGGAAATATCCGTTTCTGGTTTAGAATTTATTTCTTCGTTCTGAAAGAAAATAACGCCGCACCTGTTATTTTTATGTTAGCAGTGTCTGGTTAATGGATCACATGGACATGCAACACACCATTCACCATATGTATGTGTTACAAAACCAACTAGCACAAATCAGAAGTGATTAAGAACCGAAAGATGCATGTACAGAAAGTGTAAAAAAAAAAAAAAAAAAAAAAGCAAAACAAAAAAAAAAGAAAACAATATATTATATATTCTATATATTCATGTTAAAGAAATAGTATAAAATATTTTTAATAGTCTGCTTTTTATATACAAAACTATGACACCCGATTATAATCGGTAAATCGCATCGAAAGCAGTAACCGATTCCAACCGATGATCGATTATGAAAATGAAAATGCCAAGTTACATTAAAATCGGACAAAAACTGTAGGAGGAGTAGCGTTTTTAAAGTATTTCGCTGAACTTTCTATTTTTATAAACCTTGGCAACATTATTCAACGAAATCAAAAAACAGATATATAGAATTATGTATCTCAGTGTACATATGTAGTCTACTTACATGTATGTGCCAAGTTATATTAAAATCAGACCAAAACTGTAGGATGCGTAGCGTTTTGAAAGTATTTCACAGAATTTTTTATTATTTTTAACCATGGCAACATCGTTCATTTAAATCAAAAACCGATACACAGAATTATGTACCTTAGTGTAGTCTACATGTGTACCAAGTTATATTAAATCGAACTAAAACTGTAGGAGGGCCGGGGTAACGTTTCAAATTTTTCATAGAAATTTCTATTTTAATATCTATGGTAATACCGTTCAACGAAATCAAGAAGCGATGCACAGAATTATGTATTTAAGTGTTGTCTATTTGTGTGCCAAGTTATATTAAAATCGTACAAAAACTGTAGGAGGAGTAGCGTTTTGAAAATATTTCACGGAAATTTCTATTTTTAGTAACCATGGCAACACTGTTTAACGAAATCTAAAACAAAAACTGATACACAGAATTATGTATCGTAGTGTAGTCTACTTGTGTGCCAAGGTGTATTGAAATTAGACCAAACCTGTAAGAGGAGGAGCATTTTGAAAAATTGTTTACAGACAGACAGACAGCTAGACGGACGGACGACGGACACCTTACTATCACATAAGCCCTTCTGGTCTTTGATCAGTAGAGCTAAAAATAAAGCACAACATTTTTCTCAAAAAAAATTCACCTCATAACTGATATAGAATTTCAATAGATTCAATAAGGATGTATCAAAGACCGTCGTTGTTTTGTTCTAATTTTATTATAAATTTACAATTTACTATTTTCTTATGACTATAATATTGTGTTATCATGTTTTGTTGTGAATTACATGCTCACTCATGCCTAAAATATTTAATAGGTAACATTAAACATACATGCAAGAGTAATTTCTGATCTTGAAGTGATTTTTACTAAATTAAAAAATGGTTTGAAAGATGAGCATTCCTAAGTGTTAACGAGGTTCGCTCCTGAGCTTTTGAGCAGATTTTATTTTAACCTATATTTAAAAAAATCTGAGTAATGCTTTAATTCTTACAATAAATTTGGATTCTACAATGCCAAATAAACTATATTCAGTTAAAACTCCATGATTAAATTCCATACCAAAAGCATTAAGTGAGGAACTATATTTTGTGGCGGAAGGTTTTTTAGAAGAAAATGATCATTTTTTCTCTTTTGAAGTATTTAAAGTATGTTAAGTTTGGATTCCTATTTTTACATGCAGTCTGCACACAGAGTTATTTTGTGCAGTGAACTGTTTTATACTGGTCCTAAATTATATATTTAATAAACTGTCATGAATTCAATCATCATATTTGATAAGTAAATCAAATATATTGTGAAAATCAAGAAAAAAAAATTAGCCCTAATTTAAGCTCAAAATTAGCACTATTTTAGTAATATCTAAAAATTAACATCACAGACCCCCACTTTTAACTTTCTTTTCTGAA